CGAGGTGCCCCTTTTCTCTACCTTGAGCTTGGCCTTCCATCCTCCTTCCCTAGGGCCAAACCTTTGGGGTCAGCACCCACAGGTGGGGCACTTGTCAACCAGCCCCTCAGGCCATGCGAGCAGAGGAGAGGGCATCATTAAAGGGTACCTATCAGGAGAGAGGCTTGCTCTTTGACCCCTATCTGTTCTGGGTAACTCCGCTAACCTGGCCCCTCTAAAACTGTGCCTACTTTGGGATCCACCAAGATTCTGTTTCTGTCCTAATTTTTCCACATGACAGCTATCATCTTCTTCCCTGACCACAGTCCAACCCAGTGGAAGCATTTCTGACTTGGAGCTAGATTCATCTTTCAAAGCAGAGAGTGAGAAGAAAATTCTCTCTAACTCTTGATGCACAGAAGGAGCTCTGCAAATGTGAGCTGAATTTGGTGAAGAATGAGAGAAGGGGTGACAAGCAGCAAGGGAAAGAGAAGAGAGGGAAGGAAGAATTCTGTTCTTTAGAGTGCCCTGCCATGATAAGGACTCCAGAGTCAGGGATTCTGCAAGTTCTTATGAAATGAGGAGGGCATGTCTGGGAGCTCACAGCTTCTGGCAGCCTCTGATGTTCCACAGCTGCCTCATGAACTTCTCTCCAGACCCTGGAAACACCAGGCCCACCACCTCCTGTCTTTATTCATGCTGCCTCTTCTGCCTGAGCTGCACTTTCCTCTCCTCTTCACTTTACTCATTCCTTCTCCTTCTTCAAGATCAGGTACAAATTTCTTCTGAGACCTTGCCACCCATCCCTTATCTATCACAGCTGCTGGCGTCCCTTTCTATAGGTCTGTCTACCAGTCTTTGCCCCCACTCCTTCTGTGATTTTGACAGGATATATTATCTCTGTCTATTTGTCTCTCCCTTTCACAGTTTATTCATCCACATATTCATGCATACTTCATTAATTGAGGGCCTACTGTGTGCCAGGAAGTGATCCAGCAGTGATTGAGAGAGACCCGGCTCCTCATGCTGTCAGGTAGTTTGCAGTCCAGTGAGGGAGAAGACTTAAAAAGGAGTAACCAGATGGAGACTGTTTTGAGAAGGAAAGTTAGGGTGCTAAGGGAATATATAACAGGAGTTGGGGGCAGAACAGTCAGGGAAGCTCTCCTAAGGAAAATACATTGAAGTTGAAACTTGAAGAATGGAGACTCCCATGGCTGGGGAGAGAGATAAGGGTGTGTGTGTGTGTGCGTGCAGGGGTGTGTGTGTGTGTGTGCGCGCGCGCGTGTGCGCATGCATATGTGTACCTGGGGTACCTCAACAGGGGTTCCTGTTCAGGCTGAGCATGTACATGTGCAAAACCTCCCCAGGGAAAGGGACAATATGACAGGGAGGAATCATCAGTGGAGGGAAATAAAGCTGGAGACAGGTAGGAAGAGATTGTGGAATACCAGGAAGGCCACCGTGAGTGCCAGCTCCAGAAAGGAAGGGACTGTGACCTATTTGGTTTGTATTATGGAGCCCCTCAGAGTTCCATGGCCATACAGTTACCTGGGAGGTATTTACTGAACAAATAAAGAAATGAAAACTGAACAAATAAAGAAAAAAAAAAAAGAAATGAAAACACTTTAGAGAAACAGAATTGAAATAGAACATGGTGTCTAACAAGTGAAACAAAAGCACCTCTCCAGGCCAGCTGTGCCATCATGAAGGCCATTTCAACCTTTAGCTGGGATCCCAAAAAGCACTGCATCCATCCGGCTGGCACAAGGACAAGTTTGTAATGAGGCACATATGGCATGATTTGAGTTGGTCAAATTTAGCAAAATAGGATTGTCATTTATCCAAAACAGGCCTATCTGGAGCCAGTGGGGAAAATCTAAGTGACATCTGCCCGAATGGGAATTTACATGGCAGGGGAGTTTAACAGCCAGGGGCTGTCCTGATGCCACTCATCAGAGAGGGGCTGTCTCAGCCACTTCCTGCAGTCTTATGGATCACAGAGGACCAAAGCATTTTGGAACTGGGCAGGACCCTAGGGATCCTCCCTTGGTCAGTCCCTAATTTTACAAATGAGGACACTGAGTCCAGAGAGGCTGAGTTACTTACCCTAAGTTAAGGACAAGACCAGGCCAGGTTTCTAGGTCTCCTGATTCTATATCCAGCCCTCCTATAAACACATCTAAAAGGAAAGAGGGAGGGAAAGAGAGAGGAAGAGAAGGGAGGAGAGAAGGGAGGAGGGAAAGGAGGAAGGAAGGAAAAGGAAGGGAAGGAGAAACTATGAGGGGGAGGGAGAGAAGTGATGGACAGTGTTGGGGCTCAGAAAATAATACCCCAAAGTAAGATGTACAGAAGGAGCTCCGCAAATGTGAGCTGAATTTGGTGAGCAGTAACAGAGTTGGCATGCTGAGTACCTCAAACTAAAAGAGATTGGAAGGCCTCAGAAGCAGCCCCCAAAGCAAGTTCTCTCTGACCTTCTCCTGCCCTCTTGTCTCTTGCCCCTCTTTCTCCCCAGTCATAGAAATCACAATTTCTGGCAGGGCATAGTGGTTCATGCCTGTAATCCCAGTGCTTTGGGAGGCAGAGGCAGGAGGACTGTTTGAGCCCAGGAGATCGAGGCTGCAGTGAGCTATTACTGCACCACTGCACACCAGCCTGGGCTACAAAGCAAGACCCTGTCTCTACAAACAATACAAAAATTTAGCTGGGCATGGTAGCATGTGCCTGTTGTATCATCAATGACTTGGGAGGCTGAGGCAGGAGGATCACTCGAGCCCAGGAGTTCGAGGTTACAGTGGGCTGTGATTGCAACCACTGCCCTCCAGCCTGGGCGACAGAGTAAGATGCTGTCTCTTAAAAAAAAATCATAATTCCTCTTCCCCAAGGCAAGTCATAGAAACTAGAATCGCTTTCTTCCAAATTGAGCCATAAAACCTAGAAATATTACTTCCTCTGCCTTTCTGCACAGAAGCTAGCCATAAATTAATTCACTGACCTACCTTGTCTGACTGCAGGTTATCCTTGTTCCAGAAGGGTTCTGCCCTCTGCCTGGGAGGAAGGAATGCTACACAGTGAGACCAAGAAGAATCTGGACAGGCCTCACTGGGTTCCTGCCCCTCAAGTTTATTACCATTAGATTCTTCCTGTGCAATCACATTTCTATACAGCTGATCATCTTCATCAAATCTATGCATAAAAATGGACAGTTTTCCCTGTTTCTGTGTATTCATTTTTGAAGTCTCCTGCATCATGAAAACATTTTTTTTTTTTTTTGAGACAGGGTCTTGCTCTGTCACCCAGGCTGAGAGCACAGTAATACAATCTCGGTTCACTGCAATCTCTGCCTCCTGGGTTCAAGCAATCCTCATGTCTCAGCCTCCCAAGTAGCTGGGACTATAGGCACATGCCACCATGCCTGGCTAATTTTTGTATTTTTAATAGAGACGGGGTCTCACCATGTTGCCCAGGCTGGTCTTGAATTCCTGGGCTCAAGTGATCCGCCCACCTTTGAAACTGTTGTCTGGGGAATGTACCCTGGCTTTTGGTCTCAGCTGAGAAAGAATTCAGGATATGGACACACATGAGGAGTGGGTTTAGGAGTGGAAAGTTTAATGGGAAAAGAGACAGAAAAAGTTTCCTCATGCTGAGAAAGCAGGTCATTCAAAAGAGGGTCTCGGGTGCAGTAGAATGCAATTAGTTTTGTACAGATGCTTGAGAAGGTGGTGACTGATTTACTTAGGGCTCAGGGGATTGGGTTTACCAGGTGTGCCACTCACATAGCCCGTGAAAAGACTGCCCCCCGACCCTAGTCTTTTATTATGCAAACATGGTCTACATTTGGCTGTGGCCATGATACTTGTACATGTGGTTTTACCTGGAGGCTGCCATGACACCTGTAAACCTGGTGACAAGGAAAAGAGGGTGGGAGATGCCATACTGAAAGTATCTGGCTTCCAGGTACAGCTGTCTGCATATACATATAAAGCTCCTAGTTTGCATATCAATGCCTGACTTCTCAAGCTGATTTTTGTTAGAGAAGAAATGGTTTGGGGCTGCTTCTTATTAAAGGAAAATTCCACTGAGAACTCTCACACTTTCTAGCTGCGCAAAAATTATTTCTTAATAACTCCTGTATTACCTTGGCATCCCAAAGTGCTGGGGATCACAGACATGAGCTACCACACCCGACCTAAAACTTTGATTAAATAAATTTGCTATGTTTTTCCCTTGTTAACCTGTCTTTTGTTATAAAAAGTGCTGGCTGTGAGCCTTATGATAGGTAAGACAAGGTACCACACATTTCTGTCCCTAGAGTGGCTTACTTCCAGACTTTGTCACTGAAATGGTTTTGATCTGTGTCCCCACCCAAACCTCATGTTCAACTGTAACCCTCAGCATTGGAGGTGGGGCCTGGTGGGAGGTGACTGGATCATGGGGGCGGAGTTCTCATCAATGATTTATCACCATCCCTCCTTGATACTGTATAATGATAGAGTTCCCAAAAGATTTGGTTGTATAAAAATGTATAGTACCTCCCCACTCAGTCTCTCGTCCTCCTACTCTGGCCATGTGAAGTGCTCGCTCCCTCTTTGCCTTCTACCATGTTTGTAAGTTTCCTGAGGCTTTCCCAGAAGCCAAGCAGATGCCAGCATCATGCTTCCTACACAGCCTGTGGAATCAAGAGCCAATTAAACCTCCTTTCTTTATAAATTACCCAGTCTGAGGTATGTTTTTATAACAACGTGAGAATGGACTAATACAATTACCTAAAACAGAATAAAGCTCCAGTTCATTTATGCCTCAGTTGCTCTGTGTTGTGTGTTTTCTATGTTTCATTCACTTAGTTGAATGTAATTGATACACCTTCTTTCTTCTTGCTGTTTCTTAATTCCCCCAAACTTCAATGAGCTACCCATTCAGCTCCTGCTCCTAGTCTCTCCTTCCTTTTTACTTCTCTGTTGCTTTCAAATTTTGCTTCCAGATTTACTAGGGAGCTATATTAAGCCATTCTCAGTTCAACTTACTTTACATTCTTATTCCTGCTCCAAGATCCATCTCGTTGAAGCTGAGACTGCTACTCCTTCAAGATTCCTAGACAATTAGGTTCCATTTATCACCCTCTAACCAGTCCTATGAGTAAGCCCTATCAGGTTGTGTTTTAAACATTGTTTTCCAGCTTGCAACATGGAGCCACATTCTCACATTCTAGATGCCATCTGTAATGACTGGTACAGTGTGGGTGCCAGCCCAGCAGAGTGGTGGGTGGCCTACTCAATGGGAATGGACTCTGGCCCTTACTCCACATTAGCACCTATGAGCTCAGTATCAGCCCCAGTCATAAACATACTTGAAGAATTAATTGATTGATCCACTCATCCATTCAATACCCATATGAGTCATGTTTAAGGCTCTAGCATGAACTCTATTAGGACAATATCTACAGGGTCTTTCCATGTATCATTATTGTTTGCCACAGGTGTAGAAATGACAAACCCTTGGCCAGCAAGTAAGATAATCCAGAGAAACAGGGGGGAGGGATGGCCTCTCTCTTTCTCTCTTTATGCTTCTGCCCTTAGTCTGTTTTGCATTGGTATAAAAGAATACTGGAGACTGGGTAATTTATAAAGAAAAGAGGTTTGTTTAGCTCACAGTTCTGCAGGCTGAGAAGTTCAAGGGCATGGCCCTGGGCTTCCAGCAAGGGCTTTTGTGCTATATCACAATATGGCAGAGGAGATCAAAAGGAAGTGGACATGTGTGAAGAGGGAGAAAAACTTGAGGAGCATCCTATCTTTATTATAACCCACTCCATGGGAACGAATCCATATCCATGAGAAGTAATCCAGTCTAGCAACAGAGAGAACTCATGTACTACCAGGAGAATAGCACCATGCCATTCATGAAGGATCCCTTGTCATTATCCTAATACCTCCCACTAGGTCTGACCTCCAACACTGCCACACTGGGGATCAAATATCAACTTGAGTTTTAGTGGGGACAACTAGCTGCATCCAAACCATAGCATCTCTCCATTACTAGTGTGGAAAAACTTGATGCTAAGTAGCCCTCCCCTTTCTGGTCATTTTGCAGTCTGCTACTGGAGACAGGAGAAAAAAGGCATGCTGACCTTACCATTCTACAGATGAATTCACAGTCATACGATCACACCGTCAGGGATCCAGAAGTAAATTAATTTGCATTCAAGGGCAGACATTCCAGAGCAAGGAAGGCGATTTCAGCCAGTGCATTTGCTGCTGGTTGTGACTAGCTACCTGATGTCTTGAGCTATCATAAAATACACAAAATGAATCATTTCAAGGAAAAAGTGGGCAAGGACCAAAAAATAGTGAAATAGTGAGAAGCATCCCAGTGGGCCCCATGTCCTTCAGATGAACTAAGATACATTCTGAGTCTAGTTCCAAGTTTCAGTTATTTAGTTATAACCTAAAGCAAATAAAAACTAAAAAGTGCTAGGCGTGGTAGCTCATGCCTGTAATCCCAGCACTTTGGGAGGCGGAGGTGGGCCAATCACTTGAGGTCAGGAGTTTGAGACCTGCCTGGCCAACATGGTGAAACCCCATTTCTACTAAGTACACAAAATTAGCAGGACATAGTGGCACACGCCTGTAATCCCAGGTGCTCCGGAGGCTGAGGTGAGAGAATCGCTTGAACCTGGGAGGTGGAGGTTGCAGTGAGCTGAGATCACGCCATTGCACTCCAGCCTGGGGAAAAAGAGCAAAACTCCATCTCAAAAAAAAAAAAAAAAAAGAAAAAGAACAAAACTAAACTAAAAAGTGGGCAATGTATATAGTTAGATTCAGAAAGCTGAATGACAAGATCTCAATTGGGACAGGAATTGTTGGTGTCATTTGTGGGTCTTTAACAGGAACATACTACAGGGAAACAACAGAAGTCATGAAAGTTTAGATACCTCTGGCTGGGGGATTTTCTTTATCAGTCAGCTTGGTACTCAACTATGGTCATCACCTAACTGAAGTCGTAGGCCTGATCTTCTGACTCAGAAGAAGGACGGCAGCCAGGAGCTGCCTTCTTCTAGATTGGACTGAACCTACATTCTGTTAGACACCATTAGCAATATAACTTTTCTTCCTCAGTTGCCCCACACAATGAGAAGTAAAAGGTCCTATTTTCCTCTGAAGTCATTTTTTGGGCCAATATATCAGATTAATTCTGAGCTTATTGATGGAGTTTTGAGATTTGCTTATTAAGGACTTAAATTAATGCTAATAACAGAAGACCAAGTGGAATAATGACAGTTTAAATACCTAAGCCCTAAACCACTGCCTCTTAAACTTTAGTGCAAATGAGTCACATAGGGGATCTTAGTGATTTGATTCAGCAGGTCTAGGGTGGGGCCTGAAATCCTGGACTTCTAATCCGCTCCTAGGTAATGCTGATGCTTCTGGTCCATGGTCAGCAGTTTTGTAGGAAGGCAGAGGGCATTATTTACAAATTTGGCTATATAAGAGAATCATCTAGGGAGTTTTAAAAAATGCTGATGCCAGGGTCCCATCCCCAGAAATTCTGATTTAACTGGCCTACTGTGCATCCTGGGCATCACGATTCTAGAGCATGACAGAGTTTGAAGACCACTGGTCTAACAAGTCTGTTCCTAGCTGTCTGCCAATTCTCTCCTGATCTCTTTCCTAGGAGAAACCACTGAAGTCCAGGATACCTTTGAACTTGGGGACAGATGCCTGAATTCAATCCTGCTGCTTTCCTTGTGGTCTGCCTTCCCATCTTGGAATGAGGCAATGATCCTGCCTATCTTAGAGGGTTGTTATGAAGATTAAGCGAGGTCTGAGATACATGAAGAACCCAGAAAAGTGCCTGGTGTGATGTTATTATTGCTTCATTATTATTTTCAACTGCTAAACAGTTAATATTCACTAAGCTTTAATAGACAGTTATTTGTTGTGAGGCACAGGACTGGGGCTCAGAATGCCTTTCCTCCCAAACACACTTACCAAAAAGTCACCCTACTAGCTTGTTGAGAACTTGAAAGGCAGAGATGTCATTCTGAGGGGAAGAAATTTAGGACCTACTCCCCCAAATTGAGTCACTGAAAGCAGAAATTAGGACACTGATGATCAACTTCTACTTCCACAAAGGCAATAAGGCACTTATGGAGTGTCCACAGTGTACAGGGCATTCTGCTAAGCCTCGGGGAGAACTACAAAACAGCTAGAAAGCATGGATGTTTGGCTTTCAAGAGCTTCTGCTCTAACGCAAAAGATAAGCTAGGCACATAGTCAAGTAGGTTCCTTACGGCCTACAGGGCTCATTCATTTTTTCAATCAAAATCCAAAGCTGCTTGTTGTAATCTAGCCACAATGCTAGGGATTGAGGTTACACAGATAAAGAAAAAGAAGACATGTTCCCCCCACCTTCTTCCCACTCCCCTAAGATACTTACTGTCTGAGAGAAGAGACAGAAAACCACATAGAAAATTAGAGCTTTGAAAGTACTCTAGGAACCCAGGAGTCCCTCCCTACCACCACCAGACTAGGCTGCAGACGAATGTCTGGGAAAATTCTCAGAGGAGGTGGCATGGGGCTGCTCAAGACAAGCTCCTTAGCCTTGCATTTGAAGCGCTTTGGGATCTTTGTCCTGCTGACTTTCTCGGCTGTATCTCCTAAGTCATGCCTATTTCTTACACTCATCCATGCTCTGCCATCTGACTTTGCTCAAGATTGCAAGGTCCATGGTAGCAAGGGCGGCATTTGTTTTCTTCACCCAAGTGTCCCCACAGGCTTGTGGAGAGCCTGGCTAATCTCAATGCTTAAATGAATGAATATGGTATTTTGTTTGTGCAGGCACCAGCCTGGTCAGCCTTGAAGCCCCAAGTAAGGCTCAGTCTTTGTTCAGCCATCTCAACACCAGAGACAGGTAACTGCCGCTTACAAGATAGTCCTACATTCTTCCTGAGCCCTACTACTTGGAAGCCTGGTCAGCAGCCCCAGGCAACCAGCCATGAGATCTGGAGGTGGTGCTGCCTGCCTCAGATATAATATACCTGCATTTGCCTCAGTTTTCCTTCACGACTAGACCTCTTCTATAAATACCAGCCTACCAGGCTAAGTCTTTCAATCAGTCTCCCAAGCCCTCCCCTTTTGGGGCCAGATCATCTTCCCTTTATCCTTAGCTGTGATTCTTGTCCTCTTGTGAACAGGCTAACGGCACAGAACCATGCCTGACTTTGTCACCAGTATTCCGAACCCCAATGACCTTTACCGGCATGTGCTGCAACCAAGGCCACGTTTGTGGCACTCTTGTAGACACTGTGCACTGAACTGCTCAGCCTCCATCATTTTCCCAGCCTTGACCTATCCTCTTCCTCACATCCCTTGAGTCTGGTTTCTACTCCTGTGCCCCAGCCACAGCATTCCTTGTATGCCAGTCAGTCCTAGGTTAGATAGCTCATTTTAAATGCAGCCTCCCTCCTTAATTCCCTCTCTCAGAATGTAATCTCTCTCTTCCCTGAAGTCCCATATTACCATACCTGTACCTCACTTAAAGACCTTTTTACTTTACATCACAGCTTTTTGTGTACCTGACATTCTTTCTTTTTTTTTTGTTCAGGGACTCCCAGTTGATCTTGGCTCACTGCAACTGCTGCCTCCTGGGTTCAAGCAGTTTTCCTGTCTCAGCCTCCCAAAAGGCATGCATTATTGCACCTGGCTAATTTTTGTATTTGTAGTAGAGATGGGTCTTTACCATGTTGGCCAGGCTGGTCTTAAACTTCTGAGCTCAATCCACCCGCCTCGGCCTCCTAAAGTGCTAGGATTACAGGCGTGAGCCACCAAGCCTGGCCTGTCATCCTTTCTATAAAACTTGTAGGCCAAGCACATGCTTTTTTCACCTTTGTATGCCCTGAGATCAATACAACTAGACCCTCAGACAGCTTGCTGAAGAGATGAAGAAATCATTAAAATTAAATAGGATGCAGCAGTCTTCCTAACCCTCTAGCCCATTCCATTCAGCCTACACATCCCCTCCTATAGTAACCACTCTAAAGCACAGCCTTTCTCATGCCAGATGGGAACCATTGCCACATTCCTTATCCTGAATCAAGTCTGCCCTAACCCCTTTTGCCATATCTGGCCTGGAGCCTACCTTCCCAACCTCATCTGTTGACACATCCTCCATCACCCCAAACTGTACTTCCATAAGGACCCACTCAACCCTCACTTTTGTCTTGATGCCTGCTTTTCTTCATCCCAGAATATTTTCTTTTCCTTCCCCTATTCTTGGCCACCTAATGTGGTTTGGCTATTGGCCTGGCTCAATAATCAAACTCAGCACTAAGACATTTTCAGATGAAAAAGGCCTTCATTGCAATGTTTTGAATAGATTTTAGGATAAAAAAGGCCTTCATTTCAATGTTGTGAGTAGATTTTATCCAGCAAGAAATGAGTCTTATTAAGTCCTAAGGGTGGACGGTATCCTTGTATTAGGAAATCATGCGGTGGGACAAATGAAAATAAAAATGTGTGCACTCCCTCCTGCCTGCCTGAGTGGCTGGGCGGGGGTCGGCCCACACTCAAATAAAATAAAATAAAAATGTGCCTAAGGTTCTAAAACTGAGAACTGTGAGGAATTGACGCTGAAGGTAGAATTTTCAATCTGAGAAGCTGTGTTCTGTTTGGTAACAGAAATGAAATGTACAGTTGAGTAGGAGTGGGGTAGGGAGCTGTAGAATGTCCCTCCAGTTGCAACAAATTTAGCTGATGCTGTATCTGTACTGTCCTTTGTTTCTGCAGGATGTGGGATTTCTTTATTGAGAGTTGCTTACTAATAGAAAAGCAAATGTTTGTTACACACTTACCATGTACCAGGACTGAGATAAATCCTTGAGAGGATTAACACTTGCAATTCTCATAATAATCTTATAATTTTTCAGGCACAGAAGTTAAGGATCCTGTCCTGCAAATAAAGGTAGAACCAAGAGTTGAACAACAGGGGCCTGACTCCACAGGCTGTACTCTTAACCCCTACTATCAGTTTTTGTTTTTTAGCAAGCTCACCCTTTAAAAATTCCTTTTTCGGTATGTTTTATAATTAGTACAATAGTGCATGCTTATTCTTTGTGGATGCAAACTCCAAAAATTTTTACTGGTAGGGATACCCCATTATTTTGCCACTTTTTCACATGCTAGGGTGCTTCATTTACTTATTGCTTCACATTCATAGACTGTATTTCTCCTAAGAAATTTGGAGTGTCCTTGAAGGTAGGAATGACGTCTTAAACTTTCACTTTATTCCCACAGTAGGCCTAACTGTATTGTCCCTAAATATTCATTGAATTGAATTGAACTGGTACTCCACAACCCTATCGCTCTGGAGTAAAGCAAAGCTAGTGAAAAAATATATACAGCGGAAGTACAGTTAATTTCTAGAGCTTCTGGGAAGGCTGAAATCACCAACCACATAGTAACTTAAAAATAATCCTGCTGTACCAACATTAAAGGTGTTACTGCAGATTCCCAAAGATGTATAATGCATCTAAACTTTAAAACACCAACATGCTGGGTGCGGTGGCTCACGCCTATAATCTCAGCACTTTGGGAGGCTGAGGCAGGCGGACCAAAAGGTCAGGAGTTCGAGACCAGCCCTGACAACATGGTGAAACCCTGTCTCTACTAACACAAAATTATCCGTGGCACATTCCTGTAATCCCAGTTACTTGGGAGGCTGAGGCAGGAGAATCACTTGAACTAGGGAAGTGGAGATTGCAGTGAGCCAAGATCTCACCATTGCACTCCAGCCTGGGTGACAGAGCAGGACTCTGTCTCAAAAAATCAAAACAAAACAAAAACACCAACATGAAGCTGTGTTTAATTTAGGGCTTTGCTCTCCAGCAAAGTCAAAATGCAGATGTGCAGAAATTAACCCAATTGAAGGTGGTTATAAACCATGCTTTGACTCCCTCTGTTGGCAGAAAGGAAGAAGTTGCCTTTTCACTTTCGAGAATTCTTGGCTCAGGTTGTATAATGGCTGTTTACTGTACATACAGCCTGAGAAAATTCAGCCAGATTAGAAAAGGGAAGACAAAACCCACCAAATCTTTCTCCCCAGATGGCAACTAAATACTCTTCATTTTTCTTACATGGTAACATTGCTACCTATAAACTGCTTATTAATTGTTCAGGGAACCACCACACACCTGACCATGTTTGGCTGTGACTTTCCCAGTCTTCTTCTTCTTCTTTTTTTTTTGAGACAGGGTCTCACTCTGTCACCCAGGCTGGAGTGCAGTCGTGCGATCATAGGTCACGGTAACCTCAAGCTCCTGACCTCAAGTGATCCTCCCGCCTCAGCCTCCCAAAGGAGTCTTCTAATTGCAGAGCACAAAAACTACAACCTTGATAGCTCACAGGAGGCTGCACTCAAGCCTGGTTTTCCCACACTCACTGCTAACACTGTATCTCCAATATTTTCCATGATATAAGATTTATTTTGGTCTCATCTAGTAGAAGGAATATCTAAAATTATTCATTTGATTCATTAAGTGGAATTAAGCACATACACATCTTTCCGTAGTACATCGTTTCATTCCCAATTCCTCCTTTCCAGAATTTTTATGTATGAGTCTCAATTGTCACTTAATCACGTCAAGAACTCCTCATCATTTGAGAATTGGCTCCAACACCACTGGCAGAATTCCTCCGTATGGTTTTCCCACAGGCACACAGAGCATCTCCTCTCCCATTGGGCTGTGAGCAACTCCTAGGACCAGTGGAGACTCTGAGATGCCACCAGTGCCTGGCGTATTTCAGAATTCGAAAAAGATTTGTTTAAATAAATACAATTTAATACCATATTTCATTTTAAGGGCTAATTTTATCCATGTGAGAATTCCCCATGAATGCAATGTGAAAACATTTTATTTCATTAAAGGGGCATAACAATGTTTTATACACACACACACACACACACACACACACATAAAGCATGCTGTCAAGAAATTTTGTTTACATTACAGCAGAATTAAATAAGCCTGGCACCAAACAGCATTCTGCCACTTACTGTTTGGAGAAGTGATTTACCATTAGCGTCCTTGCACGTTCTTGCAATGTGCCAAGAACGCAAGACCCTGATCACACTTCACTTGGGCCATTTCTCAGCGTTGTGTTTGCGGCGAGCAATCTTGAGGGATGACATAACGTCTCCCTACGGAACAAAGAACAGGCTTGGTTACTGCTCACTATAACATGGTGGGTTCCCCAAGCTCAGCATACCTCTTCTATAATGCAACCGTCTTGTGTGTAAGCATGCATCTGGGCGTGTGCTTTGTTCCTGTGAGAATTAGGGTCCAGGGAGCCAACATAAACATGGTGACGCTCTGGCTACTGCTTTTGCTGTAATAGTCTTTTATCTCTGACTCAGAAGTCTGGGGTGTTCTGTCAGCATTGACGAAACTCTGAAAGCTAACGTGTTAGTTTGCAAACATAACAAAACATCAGCTTCTTCACAGTTCTCCACGCTCACTAGCTAGGTGTCCCTACACGAGTTCTTTAACCTGTCTTAGCTGGTTTCCTTCCTTTATATTCTAAAGGAGACAGTAGTGTGCACCCGCCTCATAACTTAGTCTTGGGGTTAAATATTTAAGACCGTAAAATCCCTACCACACTACTCTTCCCGGGAGTTCCCTTTCCCTTTTTGAACTCTGCCAGAGACTATTCTGCAGCGAGGCTGGGGGGTAGGGGTGGAGCACTGGGTGGGCGGCGGCTGGCGGGTTTGGTGCAGAAACAAGCTTTGGACGAGCAAGAGAGCGCGCCCAGCGGCAGCCCTGCGAATCCTCCGTAGGCGGGGCCGGGACGGCGGAAAGCTAATTGGAGCGGGGCGGGGCGTTCAGTTTCGCTGCGGCAGTTGCATAGCAACCATGCGGCTTTTATTTAGCCCGTCTATTTCAAAGGGCTTCGGGGTCTTGCGGATGGGGATCACTGCGGACACTGGAGACCCGCTAACCCCCACCCAGCCACTTCTGAAATTCGTGGCGACCGCACCCTTCCGGGCAGCGACGCCAAGCCTTTTGCCGTCCCCGCCGCCCGCACCCCCGGGAAACCCTGCGGCCGCGCTCGGGAGCGCGCCCTCCGGCCGCATGCACCCGCACACGCATGCTCCCAGCGCTCCCACGCGTGCTGTCACCCTCCCAGGTGCCGCCCACACAGCCGCGGGCCCCCGGCGCGCGAGCTCGGGACGGCTGCGCAGCGTCCTCGGAGGCAGGTGCTGGGGGCAAAACGACCTCTCGGAGGATGCCGCGGAGCGGGGCGCGTCGCCCCCCTCAGTCCACCAGAGCCCGGATACCTCAGAAATTCGGCTCTGGGTCTGTGGGGAGCGAAATGCAACCCAAACCCCGTTTTTCCGATCCCCGCGCAAATAAACACGCACAAGCACGCACACAGACCTCGCCGCGGCAGGCCCTCGCCGCCGCAGGTCTAGGCGGCCCGGGCCGCGAGGGAAGAGCCCAGGCCGGAGAAGGGGTCGCAGCCTACGTCTCGTAGCCCAAGGGGCGGCCGCTCGGCCTCTGCCGCTCGCTGGCGCGATGTAAGTGCTCGGCGTCACCGACCCGGCTCAACGGTGCAACGGCCGGCCTGGGCCTGCAACTCTGGGGTCCCGGCCGGGCGGGAGCGGCCGCCGGAGAGACCTGGTAGGCGGGGCTCTTGGGGCAGGAAGGGAGCCGGGGAGGGAAAAGCGCGACCGTGATTTGTACGGCTGGGCCCGGACCCGGCAGGAGAGCGCGTTGCGGTGCCCTCACACCGACCAGCCGGGACGGCAGACTGCGGCCGCCCTTCGCTCAACTGGGTCGCCGACGGAGTTGAGGGGCGACCACTGCGGGGAGGTGGGGAGCCTGCGGCCAGTGTCTAAGACGGATGGCAGTGCCCTGAGCGCGGCGGCGGGGTCTCGACACTGACTAGTGGAAAGGCGGTCGGAAGAGAGCGGGACCGTCGCCTCTGGCTTAACATGGCAGATGCGCCGAGACTCCAACAGGTGGCTCCGTGGCGCAATGGATAGCGCATTGGACTTCTAGAGGCTGAAGGCATTCAAAGGTTCCGGGTTCGAGTCCCGGCGGAGTCGTGGTGTTTTTTCTCCCCGTCCCCCTACAATTTATCTTCTGCCCCAATCATGTCTGCTTTTTCTCTTCTTTTCTTTTTTGCTAAACAGCTTAATTCGTCTCTCATTCCCTGCCCTGCTCTCGCAGTCACTGCATTACGGTCCTTTCCTCTCAAGCGGGTCGCAGGGTCCCGCGCCCCTTAGCTCCCCGAGCCTCGGTGGCGCAAGGTCCGGCTCAGCCGACTTGGCAGTCGATCTAAGTCCTGAGAAGAGCAGTGGCAGCGGCAAAGGAAAAGAAGCGACAAAAAAGCAAGGGATCGCGGTTTTGGCCTAAAGAAGAGTGCAGGGGAGGCCCGAATCTCGGGTGACACCTCCGCGCCTTGAGCCGGGCTGTGGCTGCAAAGGAGGGACGAGAAAACGCGTCTACGCCCTGCGTGGACTGTGCCAGCTGACTACCTCTGCAGCATGGAGGCTTCCAGATGAGCAGGCACTCGAATGCCAGCGGGAGCCTGTCAAAAATGGAGATTCTGCTGTCACTGTGGGACTCTAATTCGGTCAGTCTGGGATGGGCCCAGGAATCTGCATTTCTAAGGTCGCCCTCTCTCCTCCCCCATTATTTCAGTGCAAAGAGGTCCAAGGCCCACTGCCCATCAGCTCCTCAGGACAGGAATTACTGTATCTCTTTTTCTGACAACTCTTAGCTTTGCACAAGCTTAGCAAATAAGGAATGAATGAAACCTTAAAACTCATAAAATACAATGAAAGATAATTCACACAAAAGATGTAAAATCCAAAATTGTCAAAAAGGGTACAGGGAAAAGTAAACATCCTTGTTATTCTTATAGGCCAGCCTTGCAATTCTCTCTACAAGCCATTAGTGGTAATGGTTTCTTGGAAATATTTTCAGATTTATTTTATGATCACGTCAGCATTTTTTTTTTTGAAGAAAGAGAGAAAGAAAAAGAATAAAAAAAAAGAAAAAGGAAAAAAAAAAGAATAAAGGAATGGAAGAAAGAGGAAGAGGAAGAGGGAGAGAGAACAGGGGTGTTGCATTATTGCCCGGGCTAGAATGCAGTCTAAAAATGGGTATCATGTCAGCATTTTTAACATCTATTATGTCATAACATTAATGCTATTGATATATGTGATATGTATCCTTTTAAAAACACAAATGATTGTATGCTATACTTGTTTTACTTAGGAATACATATAGAGCTGCCTTGTTCCATTGTGCATACGTATGGTAATGATTTAACAGTCCCAATAACTGGACATTTAGATTTCCAGTATTTTCCTATTACAAACAATGCATCAGTGAACATCCTCGTTCTTATATTATTGTACCCAAGTATATCTGTCTGTAGGACAGATTCCTAGAAAGTTGAATTGCGGCTGGCACAGTGACTCACGCCTGTAATCCCAGCACTTTGGGAGGAGGTCAAGGCGGGCAAATTACCTGCGGTCAGGAGTTCAAGACCAGCCTGGCCAACATGGCAAAACCCCATCTGTACTAAAAATACAAAAATTAGCCAGGCATGATGGCACACGTCTGTAATCCCAGCTACTGGGGAGGCTGAGGCAGGAGAATCACTTGAGCCTGAGAGGTGGAGGCTTCAGTGAGTCAATCGTGCCACTGCACTCCAGTTTGGGCAACAGAGCGAGACTCCATCTCAAAAAAAAAAAAAAAAAAAAGAAGAAGAAGAAGAAAGTTGAATTGCTGGTTCAAAGGTTTGTGTATTCTTAATCTGTACATTAATAGATATTGGCAAATTGCTTCATAGACATTGTATCCATTTTTCTCTCCCTAGCAATGTGAGAGTGTTTGTTTCCACACAACCCATATGTTCTCAAAAGGTGGCTTCTAGCTGTGATTTTAATTCATGTACATATATTTTTAAATAAATTTTATTATTATTACTATATTTGAGACAGCCTTGTTCTGTTGCCCAGACTGGAGTGCAGTGGCTCATTGCACACTCAACTTCCTGGGCTCAAGCAATCCTCCCACCTCAGCATCCCAAGTAGTTGGAACTACAGGCACATGCTAACATACTCAGCCAATTTTTAAATTTTTTTGTAGAGATGGGGGTCACGCTATGTTGCCTAGGCTGGTCTTGAACTCCTGGGCTCAAGTGATCCTCCCATCTTGTCCTCCCTAAGTGCTGGGATGACAAGCGGGAGCTACTACGCCTGGGCTGTGTCTTTTATTATGAATCAAGATGATTATCTTTCCATACATAGAATAATTTGTAAATTTTTTCCATAATTTATCTGTTCTTGAGTTGTGTTCATTTTTCTATGGTATCATGAAAAACAGCCCTTTGTGACATATATTATAATTCTTCTTCAGTCTGTTATTTGACTCCATTTGTGGTATTTTGTTTTTCTGTCTTATAAAAATTCATGTATTTGGATTTATCAATCTTTTATGGCTTCTAGGTTTGGGGTCATACTACACTCAGATTATTAAGTAATTTCTTTAATGGCTTTCCTTTTATGGTTTTATCTTTGCTTCATCTGGAATGTGTTTTTGTGTAAGGAGTGAAGTGGAAGTTTTGTCCCAAAATCACTTTTAATGAACACTCCTACACAGCGTAATTTGAAGTGCCACATTTATAATTTCCTAAATTCCCACATGTATATGGGTTTCTGGATTCTCTGTTGCATATGGGTTTCTAGATTCTCTGCTCTATTCCATTGACCTTTCTGTCTTAATTTTGATTCACTAGAACTGTGCTGTTTTAATATCTAGTAGGGTCAGTCCTCATTACTTTTGTTTAAAGATTTTTCTACCCATTCTTGAATTATTATTTTTCCCATCTAATAATATTAGTTAGAACTTATTTGGCATTTGTTATATGCCAGCTACTATTCTCAGTGCTCTATGTATCTTTATTTAATCCTCTTGACAGCCCTACCAGGCAGATATTTTTATCCCCTTTCATGGAAGAGGCATCTGAGACAGAGAGGTTAAGTTACTTGTGCAAGGATACACAGCTAATAAGTGGCAAGCCTGGATGAGAACCCACGAAGGCTGGGTCTATGGGTAAAGCCACAATTCTTTATCATCATTTCACATTAGCTTTAGCTACAGCTAGTCTGGCTCTAATTTTAGGAGGTATTTTTGTTGGAGTCATGTTATATTTATAGATTAAAACAGAATTGGGCCAGGTGCTGTGCCTCATGCCTGTAATCCCAGCACTTTGGGAGGCCAACATGGGCGGATCACTTGAAGCCAGTTGTTTTGAGACCAGCCTGGCCAACATGGCGAAACCCTGTCTCTATTAGCTGGGCGTAGTGGCACATGCCTGTAATCCCAGCTGTTTGGGAGGCTGAGGCACGAGAATTCCTTGAACCTGGGAGGTGGAGGTTGCAGTGAGCTGAGATTGTGCCACTGCACTCCAGCCTGGATGACAGAGCCAGACTCTGCTGGGGGGGGGGGGGGGGGGGGGGGGGAGGAGAATGAGAATTGAAGCAATTAGGATGTTGAGTCTTCCTGTGTAAGAGCAGCAAGAGGAAATAAAGAACACCTATGCCTTTTCATTGTTCAGTAGTAATTATGTATGTTTATTACTATCATTGTATGTGCTCTTCTGGAGTGTGTATCTTGACTTTTTTTTAACTTTATTCCCTGATAGTTTATCTTTTTTTTTTTTTTTTGGAATTGTTTCCTCCACTATATTTTGTAACTGGTTATTATTTATATATCAGAAGGCTTTTGATATTTTAAATAATAATTTTATATCTCATTAAATTATCTTACTATTTAAAATAGTTTTTCAGTTCAAAATCACAATGAGATACCATTTCACATCCAGTAGGATGGCTAGAAAAAAAAGACAGATAGGCTGGGCATAGTGGCTCATGCCTGTAATCCAGGCACTTTGGAGGCCAAGGCAGGTGGATCATCTGAGGTCAGGAGTTCAAGACCAGCCTGACCAACATGGTGAAACCCTATCTTTATAAAAAAATAAATAAATAAATAAAAATAATAAAAAAAAAGACAATGCAAGCATTGGCAAGGATTGGAACTCTCATACAATACCAGTGGGGCTGTAAAATGTGTGGCTTCTTTGGAAAACAGTTTGGCAATTCCTCAAAAAATTAAATATTAGAGTTACCATAGGACCTAGCAATTCCACTCCTAGGTATATCCCCAAGAAAACTAAAAAAATGTCCACACAAAAATGTGTACAGGAATATCCATAGCAGCATTATTTTTGTTGTGGTGGTTGAGACAGGGTCTTGCTGTGTCGCCCAGGCTGGAGTGCAGTGGAGTACAGTGGCATGGTCACAGCTCACTGTAGCCTCAACCTCCCAATCTGAAGGGATCCTTTCATCTGAGCCTCCCAAGTAGCTGGGACTACAGCCATGCACCACCACGCCCAGCTAATTTTTGTATTTTTTGTAGAGATGGGGTTTTGCTGTGTTGCCCCAGGCTGGTCTCGAACTGTTGGGCTCCAGTTATCCACTTGCCTCAGCCTCCCAAAGTGCTCAGATTACAGGTGTGAACCACTGTGCCCGGCTAACATTGTTTTTAATAACCAGAAAGTAAAAACAATCCAAATATCCATCAAATGATGATTGGATATACAAGATCTAGCATATCTATTTGATGAAATTTTATTCAGCAATAAAAAGGAATGAGGTAGTGATTCATGTTACAATACTAATAAGCCTTGAAAACATGCTAAGTGAAAGAAGTCAGCCACAAAAGACCACATATTGTGTGATTCCATTTATATGAAATGTCTGAAATAGGCAAATCCATAGAGACAGAAAGTAAATTAGTGGTTTCCAGGCATTGGAAGTGGGGAGAATGTGAAGTGACTGACTGCTAATGGGTATGGGGTTTCTTTTTGGGATGATGAAAATGTTCTGGAAGTAGGGGTGATAGTTTCACAATTGTGAATATATAAAAATCCATTGAATTATACACTTTTCAAAGGGGCTGAATTTAAAAAAGGAAAAGTTTTTCAGTTGACTAAGTTGTGTTATCTGGAAATAGCCTCAGATTATAAGTTTATATTTTCCTTTCTAATTGTTATGCTTCATATTATGTTTACTGTCATAGCATCAGTGAGTACAGTATGTCCAGAAAATGTTAAATAATTTTTCATAATAATGGTGAGAGTGGACTTCTTTGACTTGTTTCTGGTCATTATAGAAATGGAAATGTTTCTCCACTAAGCATGATGCTGGCTTTTGGGGTTGGTGTGACATACACACATGCATATTGTATCACATTAAGAAAATACCTATCCCTATTTGTCTATCAACTATGGGGATTTTTCTTTGATCTAATATTGTCTGATATATTAACAGATTTTCTAATATTTAACTCATCTTACATTCTTGAAATGATCCTATCTGGTTGTGATGTATACTTATTTTAATATTCTAACATAATTTTTGCATATTTAGAAAGATTGACTTTATCTTTTTTTTTTTTTTTTTTTTTTTGAGATGGAGTCTCACTCTTTCACCCAGGCTGGAGGGCAATGGCATGATCTCGGCTCACTGCAACCTCCGCCTCCCAGGTTCAAGCGATTCTCCTGCCTCAGCCTCTCGAGTAGCTAGGACTACAGCCGTGTGTCACCGCACCTGGCTAATTTTTGTATTTTTGGTAGAGATGGGGTTTCACCATCTTGGCCAGTCTGGTCTCGAACTCCTGACCTCATGATCCACCCGCCTTGACCTCCCAAAGTGGTGAATCTCTACCTTAAATGAATAGGAAACACAGCATTGTTTGTAATGGCTCCCAAACTGGAAATAGCCTAGATGATTGTCCATAATATTCTGTTCAAAGAAAGTGTGGTAGAGGCATAGAATTAAATACAATGCACACCTTTAAAAAGTGAGAAAGATCCATATATACTGCTGTGGAAGAATATCCAAGATTATAAGAAAAAAGATATGCAGATGAATATTTTAAATGAGATTCCATTTATGCTAAATAATGCCCATAGTAACAGTAGTAATTATGTATGTTTATTACTATCATTGTATATGCATAATTTCTAGAAAGATATTCAGTTAACAGTTACTTTAGGGTAGTGCTAGGTCAGGGGGAGGCAGTGGTATGAAGGGAGGGAGCCTTCCTTTTTACTATATACTGTATGTAATGTTTCAGGTTTTTTTCTTAATAAGCCCATCTTATCTTTTTTTTTTTTTTTTTTTTTTTTTTTGAGAGAGTCTTGCCCTGTCTCCCAGGCTGGAAAGCAGTGGCATGATCTCTGCTCACTGCAACCTCTGCCTCCCGGGTTCAAGTGATTCTCATGCCTCAGCTTCCCAAGTAGCTGGGATTACAGGCGCCCCCCTCCACACCCAGCTAGTTTTTGTAATTTTATTCAATATGGGGTTTCACCATGTTGGTCAGGCTGGTCTCAAAAACTCTTGACCTCATGATTTGCCCACCTCAGCCTCCCAAAGTGCTGGGATTACAGCGTGAGCCACTGTGCCCAGCCCCCATCTTATCTTTATAATAAAAAATTAATTTTTAAAAAGTTAAAGCAAGAAAAAAAATCTTAATGCTAAGGAGGAAGGAAAAAAGAGTATCTACCTGTTCCTGGATCACTTTCAGACAGGTAGCTCCAATACTGCTTATCCATTAAAGATTTCTCAAACTTTGTTTTTAAAAAACATTTATTGATCCCTTATGCTCTACTATATGCTGGATCTCAGTGATTAATAAGCCCATTAGGAGCCCATCTGTTAAGCACCTCTAGGAACTCCTCCTGATACTACTGGAGAAACATAGAAACCAAATACCTCTTTTCAGAGTTATTCCAGCAGAGATTATATCCTGTATGTCTTGTACACTGTGTTGAAGTGTGTGGACTTTAACCTTAAAGACAATGGGAAACCACTGAATAGTTTCTAGTTGAGAAGCAGCAGGATTAGATGTGTGTTTTGTATCATCTGTCTGGCTGCAACAGGGATCACGAATTGGAATAACAAAACCGGAGGCTGTAAGACCAGTCCAAGGCAATTGGAGCTATCTAGGTAAGAAAATGATGAGGGCTGGAACCAGGGAGGTGGTTTGGACAGCAAGTTAAGTATACAAACTGGAGATGTTTCAAGGGAGGCCAAATAGATAGGCCTTGATGAATTAGGGATGTAAAGGAGAGAGAGGGAGCAGTCAGAATGACTCCCACTTCTAATTAGGCAGATGGGTGGGTGCTAAAGTAGTCACCGAGACCACAAATAAAGGTGAGAGAATTGGGTTTGGGGATGGGGGTGGAAATGAGTTCAGATTTGCAGATGTTGAGTTTGAGGTCTCTGTGGAACATCCTGGAGATGTACATCTGGCAGCTGGATATACAATCCCAAGCACATAACAGCCTCTCAGTAAGTATTTATAGAATGAAAGAATATCAGGAGGAGAATTATAGGAAGGGACATGTATAGGGAGAGGGAAGGAAAAGAAGAGAAGGTCTGCAGCTCAGGAGACAGATCTATGCTTGGGATATAAATTTCATTATCCTACCGGTGGCACTTGAAGCTCTGGACATAGATGAGATCTTGCAGGGAGAGTGTACAGCAAGAAAAGATGAGGGCTGAGGACAGAAACCCAGCACAGACATTTGAAGGACAGGCAAAGAACAAGTCCTTCAAAGAGACCAGGAAAAGGTGTCCAGAGAGATAGGAAGAGATGCAGGGGAAAGGTGTTTGCCCAAGAACCAACGGAGCAAGTTTCCTCTGGAGGAGAAGGGAGTCAAGAGGAAAAGAGAAACACCTAACATTTTTTGAACACCTGCTTTATGCCAGAAACTTTATTTAACCTTTACCATTTATCCCCTAATTCTAAGAAGTGTGCATTATCCCCATTTTACAGAGGAGAACGTTAAGATGCAAAGATGTCCTGGCAGTCAGGTGAAATGGTTAGCCTAGGAATGGTAGAAAAATGGCTGTCCTGAGGCAAGAGGGAAGGGGGCAGACATAAAAGCATGAAGGTAGAGAGGGGACAGCTGAAGGTGTTCATGTTTGAAGACCTAGTTTCTTTGTGCTCTCTTCTACAGCTCTACCTCATACCTAGGACCCAAGGAAGGTACTGACAAAGCGGAAGCTGCCTTAAAGGATGAGACACTCCCATCTTTTTGTCACCTGTGACCAATACAGATTCTAAAAGATTCTAAAAGACCAGAGGTCAGGAGCGGTTTCATACCAGTTTCCTCCTTATTTGGGGCCTTCTACATCCATCAGTTTATATTTCATAATCCATTCGCCTTCAATATGTAACTTTTGAGTAGTAGTTTGCGCAATGAACCATGCACGAAGGAAATACAAACATGAGTGAGATAGAGTGCATTTTCTTAAAAGTTGAGCCTAGTGAGGGACAAGGAGAACAGACTGGTGGTTTTATTAATTAGGATTGGTTTCGGCTGTATGACAGGACACCCACAGTAACAGTGGACTTTATAAGATAAAAGCTTTTTCTCTCTCATGTAAAAATAGCAGCTACCAGGGAATAGCAGCTACTTAATCATGAGAGATCCAGGTTCCTCCTTCTTCTTCTTTTTTTTTTTGAGACAGAGTTTCACTCTTGTTGCCCAGGCTGGAGCGCAATGGCACAATCTTGATTCCCCACAACCTCCGCCTTCCGGGTTCAAGCAGTTCTCCTGCCTCAGCCTCCTGACTAGCTAGGATTACAGGCATGCACCATCACACGTGGCTAATTTTGTATTTTTAGTAGAGATGAGGTTTCTCCATATTGGTCAGGCTGGTCTCAAACTCCCGACCTTAGGTGATCCGCCCACCTCGACCTCCCAAAGTTTAGGATTACAGGCATGAGCCACCGCACCTCGGCCTTCTTATTCTTCCATCCTCAAAATGCAGCTTCCACTTCCTGCTCCAAGATGGCTGCTTCTGGTCAATATACCTACTCCAACCTCATCCAACTCTGAAGGACAGTTCCTAAAAGTTACACATACCACTTCTTTCTACTCACATCCCATAGGAAGGTGGGAATTACAGCTTTTCGCTCAGGTGGCCACACTGTCAGCTAAAAATCAAGTGTCCTGTAACTACAGAAGAAAGAGAACAAGTCCAGCAATTTCTGCTAGTGATGCTGAAAGAGGTGTGCAGACAGCTGTAGTATAAGACAAGAATAAAAGTATGACAAAGAGATGTACGCTTACTAATTCTGTGACTACAGGTTAACCTGTGTCTCAGTTTCTCACTTAAAAGTTTTATTTTTAAGTCCTTAGAGTAGTCCTTGACTCTTAAGTGCTATATAGACATTTATCAAATAGAAATAAGTGGAGGAAAAATAAGCACAGGCTAATGGGAGTATACACATCAGTGGAGACAGTCTGAAAAAGGTGTTCTGAAGCATGTGGACTATCAGCTCTGTGGTGGCTAGGATGACTGCCTTTCCTGTGCACCCCAGCACCTAGTGTGGTGCCTGGCTCAGAGGAGATGCTCAAAGTGTTGGCTGCTGAACAGGCTTCACGTCATTACTATTTTGTCAGGTGAAATGGAGGCCGGAAAGATATTTTAGGTGGAATTAACCATATGAACAAAGACATAAAGGGTGAACCTGTCACAGTACTTAATGTGCATACAACTCAGTATATGTCGATTGAACGCTCAGATTGAGTAGTTTGGTTTGGCTGAAATGTATCAGTCAGGTTCAGACAGAAAAACACATCACTCTAGAGAATTTAATACAGGGAATTGTTCCACAGGGAACAGAAATGCTGAAAGTGTTGGCAACTCAGATACTACAACAGTAGGAAACCTGTCACCCCTAGTGCCAGAGGGACAATGGGAGATGGTGTTACCAGAACCTGGAAGCCCGAGTCATCTGGCTGGTGGGGGCTTGGAACATGGTGGGGCCGCAGCCCAAACCAAGGCAGAAGAGAGAACTACCCTGGTTTCTCTCCTCCTTTTGCCCCTAGGTCTTTTGTGTCTTACTGGGAAGCCAGTTGGCAAGGGAATCTGGAAAATGGAGCTTCCTGCAATCCAGACACTCCAGAGCAGAGGAGAGAAGGAGCTGTGAAAAGAGCTGAGAGAGAAATAGGCAAAAAACTAGCACAAGTGAAGTTAGGGCATGAGCAGGGAAGCAGTGAATATAAACCTGTGGCGGTGTCATTTTTTGGAGGGGCTTGAATGTCAGGTCTTGAATTTAGGGCTTTCTGTGTTTCATTAGGCAGAAGTGAGCCATAGAAGATAAAAAGCAGTATGGCCCCATTAAAACTGTTTAATGGGGAGGCTGGGGGAGAAAAGGGAAATACAAAGCTTCCCTTTGAGTACTTGTTACTTGCTAGGCACAGTGCTAATTTTTATTTAATCATCTCAGAAAGATGATGTGCCTGTTTCTAGGTATGTTAATTTTGAGGTAACTTCCTAGTACTTCATATGGGTAATTTGCACAGTTAATCTGAAATGTGAGTCTGCAACAGAGGGTGGGAGATACAGATGTAAGGATGGAGACTCTGGGGTGTTCTGAAGAGGTGAGAGCAGAAGTTGAAGGAGCGAGAGGACAAGATACTCAAGCCAAACAGTATAAAGATGAGGGCAGGCATTAGGGAAACCACTAAGTGGTGGATAGAGTAAGAAAATAAAGAGCAGGGAAGCAAAGCAGAAAAGCTGATCTTCTTGTAGAAGCAGAGAAGCTCAAGCCTCAAGAAGGGGGGAAGATCAGTAGTGTCAAATGACATTGCTTGGTTAGAAGGGATGAAGACTGAGGGAAAAACTGACTATAGCAGTAAGGAGGTAGGAAGGAACAGTTTCTCTATTCTGGTGGGGCCATGAGCTAAGGCAGTTTTCATCAGATGGCCGTGAGTAATTTAGTGAAGAAGTAAGTAGTTTGCTAAGCCTAGGCGTGAAAGTTGGGTTTTGGGAGAACAGAAGTGTCCTTTATCTCCTGTGTGCTCTTTGGTTATAGAGGCTGCATTAGCTGCACTGCTGTACCCAGTGCTTATGTAATGCACAGGGCTCAATTATTAGTGTTAGCTGACTTGCAGGATGAATGAATTTGGCAGGAAGTATTTAAAGTTAAATAAATGCATTGTGGAGTGGCAGTGAAAACCCAGAAGAGGGTCAATCCTTTCCTGAATCTCAATAATATAGACTGATAATAGTGTTTTCCTCGACTGGGATTGGTAGGTGAAGAGTAACAGAAACCAAAAAAGACTATTAAGAATAAAGAGACTAGTGGGGCATACAGACTTTTTGAAATATTTGATGAATTGGGTCCAGATTTGTTAGGGAGAAAAATGTATCTTCATGGGGATAGAGGATTCAGAGAATGAACGGCTGAAAGGCTTGAGATCATTTCACAATGTTTAGTGGGCGAGAACCAGGCATCAGAATTTTGAAACCATCATAGGTAATTCCAAAGTGCAGCCAAGGCTAAATTGGAGAGAACTGAAGGGAAGGCTAACAGGATAATAGATTTGGGTAGTCTAAGAATCTTGACCACTGAATTCTCAAATAATGAGTCTAAGGCCATGATGGTGATTCATTAAAGTGAACTGGAAATGAGGGTAACTGGAATTGATAAAATTGAGCTTGAGGAACTATAGTGCCATCTTGATTTGAAGGTATATCTTGTATCTCCTCCTAGGAATTCTCTTTGCACAAACTTATGTAATCTTACATTTCATAGTTCGAGATGTCTCATTTCTTTGATAGAGCACTGATCTGCTTGTAAAATTTAATTATAGGTCATGGTATTGACCCTACTTCTTGGGAGCATTTCTCCACTTTAAAAACTATGTGACAATGAGAAGAACTGCACTTTACATTTTAATTAGATGCTTGGGGAATTGGTTAATTAGAAAGCCCATTTTGTTTCAACCCTTACTGAAAACTTTCAATAAAGATATTAATCTAATTAAATAGTAAGCACAAATTCTATTAAGTAAACAACTGGATGTTTTTCAGTGGTTTGGGATCTATTATAGGTAATTATTCTGAACGATAGTTGTCACTGCCCGAAAGACTGAATACCTGGTACATATCTCAGAAATGTTAACGTTTTTCCCTATTATATTTTAACCTGCTGCTTCCAAGAATGGAATCTCATTAATTTATACCGGTTACTAAGGACATTTTCCCAGTTTTCAGTAACAGGAATATTGGTGTTTCTCTAGAGCAGCTAGTTTATGATACAGTAGAACACTGAACACAAAACTGACTGTGTTAGAAACTAGCCAGAGCCCACCTTTATCAACTGTAGTCTTAACAGCATCTACTTTGTCTTAAAAACATTTTGGGCCAGGCATGGTGGCTCACACCTGTAATCCCAGCACTTTGGGAGGCCAAGGCAGGTGGATCATCTGAGGTCAGGAGTTCAAGACCAGCCTGGCCAACAAGGTGAAACTTTCTACTAATAGAAAAATCAGCCAGGGGTGGTAGCAGGCGGCTGTAATCCCAGCTACTCGGGAGGCAGGAGAATTGCTTGAACCCGGGAGGCGGAGGCTGCAGTGAGCTGAGATCGTGCCACTGCACTCCAGCCTGGGCAACAAAGCAACAGTCTCAAAAAAAAAAAAAAAAAAAAGGCATTTGGAAGCCAGATGGTGTATAAATATAGCATTCTTTTAGAAATCTTTCAAGATCTTTCTTGGGTATCTTGAAGGTCTCTTTCACCAGCACACCTGACTGTGGCAGCCCTTTGTACTCTTTACACTTTTCTTATATATCTTAAGCCTTCAAATAGTTCCAGTTGGCTGGGCATGATGGCTCACACCCATAATCCCAGCACTTTGGGAGGCCAAGGCAGGTGGATCACTTGAGGTAAGGATGGCAAAACCCCATCTCTACTAAAAATACAAAAATTAGTTGGGCATTGTGGCATGCCCAGTAGTCCCAGCTACTTGGGAAGCTGAGGCATGATAATCGCTTGAATTTGGGAGGCCGAGGTTGCAGTGAGCTGAGATGGAGCCACTGCACTCCAGCCTGGGTGATGGAGTGAGACTGTCTCAAAAAAAAAAAAAAAAAAAAAAAAAAAAAAAAAAAATTCCAGTAGGTGAACTGAGTTTAGTGACACAGGCCAAAGTCAGTAAAACCTGTTTTTCAAAAGACTTGCTTATTAAAAAGTGAAACACAAATTCATTCATTATTTAAATATCCAGATATTTGTAGAAGGCCAGAACCACTAAAGGAGACAATTCTCTCATAGTAGGTCCTACTTTTATCCAGTAGAAGGCAAAACATAATTATTCCAGAAATAAAAGTAGTTTTTTTTAATAAAAGAGAACAGACATAGAAGCTTCTCTAACTCCACTTATGAATGTTATTGTCAGTTCTGCTATTACTAGGTTGTGACTCCAAGCAGTAAATATGAGACTTCATATTTGCTGAAATCTCAAGGAAGTGGTATGCTGGAAAAATAGGGGTAAAGTGAATAGTTATGTAAAGGAAGCTACAACTCACCAGGTATCAACAGAAATGACAAGCACTCTTTGGGTGCCAGAAAGCAGTTTAGCCAGGGTGCATACTTATGCCACTGTAGAATAGGCATAAGATGGATTACTTTGAAGACCTCCTGGCCAACCTAAAATATTGTTTAATCCCATTTTACTTGGACCACAACATTGAATCTGGATAAAAACCAGTTATTCCTTCCTGTTTCAGTTGCCAAAGAAGGAAAACAGATCTTCACCCAAGCTTTCTAGGTCATTTTTTCATATCCCAACTTTCTGGATCTGAATTTTTTTTTTTTTTTTGGTGGCAGAATTTCACTCTTGTTGCCTAGGTTGAGGTGCAATGGCATGATATCAGCTCACTGCAACCTCCACCTCCCGGGTTCAAGTGATTCTCCTGCCTCAGCCTCCCAAGTAGTTGGGATTACATACCACGCCTGGCTAATTTTGTATTTTTAGTAGAGATAGGGTTTCACCATGTTGGTCAAGCTGGTCTTGAACTCCCGACCTCAGGTGATCCACCCGCCTTAGTCTCCCAAAGTGCAGGGGGATTACAGGAGTGAGCCACCACACCTGGCGTGGATCTGAATTCTATAGCTAACTATAGGACATTGCCTCTCTACCACCTCTCATCCCCTACACAGACACACTCACACATACACACATAAAAATACCTATTAATTATAATGTTTATATATCTTTGATATCTTTGATCATTTTTAAAAGTTCTTTGAATATGTTAGCAAACTTTATTCTTCCTAAATGTCTTTGAATTAAATTTTCTTTAAATAACTAAGCATTGAAAACTTTACAAACTCAGTTACCTTAAAATGGTTGGGATTCTTTTTTCTTTTTTTCCTTAAAGAGTCTAAGCCAGGGTGGGTCTTTTGTAGACACCCCTATTTTCCAAGGGCATGTAATCAATTCTTAAATCAACTTTTTTCAAATAGGAATTCCTGTATGAACAGGACCAGTCTATGGTAAATTAATTTAGATGATGGTGTTAGTTTTCAAAACATCTTTAATAGGCTGGGCGCACTGGCTAACGTCTGTAATCCCAGCACTTTGGGAGGCTGAGGTGGGAGGATCACCTGAGGTCAGGAACTCGAGACCAACCTGGCCAACACAATGAAACCCCTTCTCTACTAAAAGTGCAAAAATTAGCCGGGCATGGTGGCATGTGCCTGTAATCCCAGCTACTTTGGAGGCTGAGCCAGCAGAATCACTTGAACTCAGGAGGCGGAGGATGCAGTGAGCCGAGCTGAGATCACAGAACTGCACTCCAGGCTGGGTGACAAGAATGAGACTCCGTCTCAAACAAAAACAAAAACAAACAAAAGTCTTAAGTAAATAAAGGAGCGATGTAAAATGTTGCAGTTTGCATGGCAAATCTTAATTGCGAAATTTCTTCTTTTTTCGGAACCTTTTTCCTGCCGCATTTGCTGCTTTTTCAGCCATGATCTCTGAGTACTTCCTTCGGTTGTATCTGAAAAGCAAAATCAGACCTTTATGTTTGATATATCAGAAGTTACAAGTTAATATAACCTTGGGGTAGAAGTTGGGAATGGAGTGGTGGACAAGTATAGTCTCTGCCTCATAGAGCTTGCTTGCAATCTAGAGAGAAATAATGCCAACTGTCATAGGAAGAATTTTTGAAAACTTTCAACCACTAAAGACCCATATCCACTACCAGGCAGTATCAAATGCTTTAAACATTTTTGAGGAGTAAAAGTGCAAAAATAAGGAATAAGCAAAACAAGAAAGTCACACTTACCCTGAAAATGCACAGTATGATATATATTTCTTAGAATCAACCAATGGTTTTCAAAATGTGGTCTGTGGAATAGGCCCTTTCAAGGAATCCACTAGGTAAAAACTATTTAAAAACTATTTTCTCAAGAATACTAAGGCATTAATTGCTTTTTTTCACCATCACTGTCTTATGAGTGTACAATGTTTTCCAGGGTCTATGTGATGTGTGGTATCTGTAGAAGCAGGTATGAGCCTCTTTCTTTAGTTAAGCCAGGCAGTAAAGAGATTTGCACTACATTATTTATTTTCATAGAAATATATATTCATGTTAACATGGGTTATTTTAAATGAGTTATTTTTCAATTATCTGAAATTTTATAAGTTTACACATATTTTAAAGCAAAGTATACATATTACAAAATAAATATAAATTCCTTTACCTTCTGAACTCAGAATCAGCCAGCAGTTCTTCCACAATAGTTCTTTTCCTTTGCTTCTTGGGAATTCTTGAATGGTAGAAATCAGCTGGATTGTCAACAATGGTTCCAATCTGTGAACAATTGATTGAAATAAGTCATGCACTACCTGACTGCCAAGCTGCTTTCATACTTCAGTGTAGCTCTAATTATATTTAGAGAAAGGAATGGACAGCACAAGCTTACAATTACACCAATAGTAATGTAAATTTTGCCATTTTTTAAAGCAAAAAAAAAAAAAAAAAAAAAAAGTAGCATACTGGTGCTACTAATGATGTTTCTTCATTAGTTTATAGTAGATCCAAAATTTCTTTGCTAAACACAAAATTCATGATGAACAGTATAACTAAAGGAGAAAAGTGGAACAGATAATATATACTTTTTGTTCTAGTTTCCCGAATCAATGAGTTAAGACATAAATTCTACTGCATACCTATTTGGTTTCCTAGGTCATCACAAAGGCTGCCACAGCTTAGCTTACTTAGTGATCATTCTGCATTTGTTCATATACTCAATTAACTAAAATTTACAGTGACCACTATGCACCAGATGCTGTGTTACATGTTAGAACATCTGGTTTCCGCAGTGAGGAGCCTATAGTCTTAAGGAAGCCCCACAGAAAGGTAACTAAAAAATTAAAGCATAACGGGGGGATGTGCGGAACAAAACACTTATAGATGCTCAAGACAAACCGACCAATTCTACCTAAGAAAGGTAAAGAAGATTTAACAAAGAATGATATTTTAGCTTGAATTTGTATGGGTAAAATTTCACCAAGCAAACAAGAATCATGCATATGCAAAGTTAAATAATGCAAGGACTGGTATGTACACATTCTTACAAGACTGAGTAGCTGAATGTGTTGGAATTTGTTGGGCTATATGACAAAAGGCAGGTGAACTAGTTATTAATGGCTCTATTAAGGGATATAGACTCAATCCTTTATGTCATAATTCATCAATTAACGTTTCTGAGCAGAGGTGTAATATGAACAGATGAAAACATTTTAAAAACCGACTTGAATTAGTACACATCATACCCTCTTTTCCCCTCCATCCTGTATGGACTCTTGCTGTTAGGCTAGTACTATTACATTCACATACTGAACTTTACAGGTTCAACATGTTTTAGAGAGTTGACCTGGAAACCATTTGTAACACTGTCTCTCTAAATGTGATCAAATTAATAGTGGCTGAATTGTATTATGGCCATTATTACATGGCCTATGAAGATATGGTCGA